GCAATCGCATTAAGTGGAATGAAAAGCGCCGTCACTGGCGCCGCACGAAGCTTCACTACTAAACTTACGGTGCCGTTTCAAGCCTACGCATTTTTATATTGTTAGTTTTTTTGTTTAATGTTTTATTTTTCATTTTTGATTTAGTTTTTCTTTTTAGTTTTTATTTTTGTTTGGTTTTGGCCTTTTGATGTAGGCCGATAAATTTCTTGGAGTAAGCATAATATTATAATATTTCTGTTTTTTCTTCTTTTTTTTTTTTGCACTACAGTTTTTGCCTGAAAAGATGGGAGAAACGTCAAAAGCTGCTGGTCGCATCCAGGTGGGTGTTCGCATGTGTCCTCCGCGGCAGGGCGAAAAGGTAATTGTACATGCTGATTCAGATGATCAGCGAGCTGTTTTGATTGACGCCGAAGGGGGACGCGCTTCTACCATGTTTAAATTTGATCGTGTGTTTACTGGGGGTCAGGACGAGGTATATGAGGCGATTGGGCGGCCAATGTTGAAGGAGGCGTTTGAAGGATTTAATGTCTGTCTTTTTGCCTACGGCCAGACAGGAAGCGGAAAGACACATAGCCTTTTTGGTGACCTGAACAGCAAAGAAGGCTATGGTGTGGCTCCACGCTTTGCGCAGGACATGATTGAGGAGGCTCAGCTCCGTGTGGAATCGGACAGTGCCGCGACAATCAAGTTTTTTGTGACGATGATTGAGGTTTATATGGAGAAGGTGCGTGATCTCCTCGCTCCCCGGGCACGAGGGCAGGAGCCGGAGTCGCTTGAGATTCACGAGGATAGTCAGCATCGCGTTTATGTGAAGGGGGCGGGCGTGCACTCTGTGCTTAGTCTGGAGCGAATGTTAGAACTGCTCAAGAAGGGCAACGCAAATCGTCAAACAGGTGAGACAAAGATGAACGAGACAAGCTCGCGTTCTCATGCCATCGTTCAAATTACCATCTCTCAGAAGTATGGGTCTTTGGATATGCGGGATGTAGAAAGTGTAGTTTTGTTAGTGGATTTAGCTGGAAGTGAGCGCCAGAGCAAGACGGAATCTACTGGGGTTGCGTTTGAGGAAGCGAAGAAGATTAACCAGTCTCTTTTGATGTTGGGCCGGGCGATGAACTCGTTCAGTGACCGTAAGGGAGGAGACGCTTTTATTTCTTTGCGCGCTTCGAAGCTAACTCGGCTGTTGTCGGAGAGCTTTGGTGGCAACAGCAAGACATGGATGCTCGCAACCGTGTCGACCGCGGCAAACAATTTGACAGAGACCATCTCCACCTTGGAATACGCCCAGAACGCCATGGCCATTACTAATAAGGCCAAGGTGAATGATACCAAGAAGAATATTGAGCTGAAGCGACTTAGGGAGTTTGTTGCATCTTTAGAGGGCAGGTTGGATGTTCTTGCGCTGGAAAAGCAAAGAAAGCAAGAAGAAATTGGACGTTTGACCCAGGAGCGGGATAAACTGAGGCAGGAAGTTGCATTTGCTGGTAGTGTTCACGACGCGAGGGACAAACTGGAGTTGGCGCTTAACAACATTCGTCTGAGTAACATTGCTCTTCGAAGAAGGGTGGAGGCTGCCTCGGAAGGTTTCATCCATTCTCTTGACAATAAGTCGTGCTTTCTTTTTTTCAAAGGTCGTTGCAGCATTACATTAGAGAGTGTGCTGCGTGGACAGCGACGTTCTTTTTATATTGGTTTGTTGACGGAGAGTGGCGTGCTTACCGAGGCTACGCTTCACATTCAATTATTCCCGTGTGAGCATCACGCCAATGAGCGAGATGATCCAATGCAATTCATCGGGAAGAGTTTACGCTTCTGTCTTCACGTTGTGGGAGCGTCAGGCATCCCTAAAGCTTTTGTTGCACATACGTTTTGTAAATTTACTCTTTTGCATGATCGTGAAGAACGCTACTTTACGACATCGACAGCGGAGAATACGGAGAACCCTCGCTGGGGTTATGTGAAGGTTTTTGAGATTCCCGAATTGACTGCTGAAGTTATACGTTGTTTTTGCGAGCACACTGTGTTTGCATTTGAAGTTTTTGCATTTAATGCGTGAATGCTAGCAGGGTCGCCCCTTATTGGTAGTTGTACCACTTGTTTCTTTTTTCTTTAGTTTTGCGACCGTCCCCCTTCCTCCGTTTTTTTTTTTTTTTGCCTTTTATGTTTGGTAGTTTTTGTGGTGCAAAAAATCACAGTCGGTGGTGTGGTGTGGCTTGGGGGAGTTAATCCCCTTTTTTGTTGTTTATTTTTTCGAGGGATAATTTCTTGTCTGTGTGATGTTTGCCTCATTTCTCTTTTTTTTTCATTTCTTTTCTTTTTTTCTTTTCTTTCCCGCCTTTCTTCGATTGCTGCTGGAAACAAAATTTTTTGTCTCCTTATTGGCGATGCGAGGGTGGGAATGTGTCTGATGCGGTGTGTTTTGTGCTGTATTTACTTCTACAGGGCACGTACTCACACACACAAAAAAAAGGGTATGGTTTTTCCTTGACTGCATCCATGGAAGGGGTACGGGACTTTAAATGAACCGCATGCTCTAAAAAGTGACTTTAGAGCACATTCCAAGTTTGGATTTTGGTAATTGCCCAATTTCTATTGTAACATGGATCTCATTAAATTTTATTCCCCGCCTGCACCAGTGTCTTAGTGACGTGCGTTTCCGTGAGTTTTGTAACGAGGCAATCTCTGTGTCTTCCTGTGATGAGGGTACTCTAAACTGTTCAGGGGAAAAGAAGGAGTGTCATATTTGTCGTACCCGAGTTACAAAATCGACGTTGTCGCAGCCTCTCCGGGAATGTGCATCCTGTAAAGGGGTCACTGTGTATTGTGGGGCGTCCCTTGTGGCATTCAAATGTATTACGCGGGAAGAGTGTAGGCCATTGGTGAAGGGGATTTTGGGTTAGGGCATGTATCGCTTGCGAGAGATGAGAAAGGCGGCCAAAGATGGTAATGCGACCGTTGAATTTGTCATTTGTCGGGGAAGAGGGGCGTGATCGAAAAGAGGAGGTATCACCATCAAAGAAATTGGGCAGCATGCAGATGCCACCTCACAAGGTTCCCCCTGATGCAGTTGTCACTGCCAGTGGGTTTGAGGAGCATTGCGTCTGTGGCACTTTTCCTGCGGCACCTCGACTTTTTTTTTTTTTAGAAGAACAGGGAGCGGGCGTAGCGGGGGCATCTGGTTCTTGTTGCGTCGGTAAATTTTTTTTATGAGTCTTATGGCTGCACATGTTTTTGGATAACACAATATTATTATTATTATTGGGAGTGGGGGGAATGACGTATGTTAATATTTTTTAGTTCCTATGGATCCGTGGTGTACCTTACATATACATACATATACATGTATTTGTTGGATTGAAGACTTCCTATTTGTATTCTTTTGTTTTGCCATTTTTTTCTACTCTCCCTACTGTTTTGGAGCACACCTCCCCTCCTATATATACATATATATTTTGATTTCCAGGCCGGGTGGGCATGTCGGATCGAACACATGCACGCCTTTTTGCTAGTGGCTTGCCATTAACATCACGGTGCAATACACCGCCAGAAAGGGCCACATCCGCATATATACCAATGCCCAGCCACATCTCAGAGCGTTTTGCAAGCGTTTCAACATCATTGGTTTCGGGAAACAGAAGCAGTATACGAAAACAGGGCCATGCAAGTGAAGGTTCTGTGAGAAGGATTCCCTTGCTTCTTGCGAAGCTTACCACGGGAGGGAACATTTCTGGTCGCCACGGCTTCACACTGAGTCCATCCATGCCGGCGGAAAACTCACTAAAGTCATATATTTTTTCACGCGGTAGTCTTTCAAAACGATTACGATGTATCCCGGCCTCTAATAATTTGTCTTCATCACTCAGTTTGTCACATGCGCCTTCGAATGCACGATTAGTACGAGCCCGCGCTGCCGCTGGTGCTGCTGACGGTTTCTTTATTCCACCCGTACGCGCTGTTGATGAGGGAAAGCTTGTTGTTGTACTGGACCTCGATGAAACGCTTGTGTACTCACGTTCTGGCAGGATCATTCTGCGTCCTGGGATCAACCGACTTTTTGATGTATTGCGTGGACGCTGCGAAACGGTCGTCTGGACTGCTGGGGAAAAGTCTTACGCAATGGAAGTATTGCAGCTGATAGATCCTTCACACTGCATCCAACACTGTATTTACCGCCATGAAAAGTGGTGGACCGAGAGACCGGGTTATGTTAAGGACGTTGCTGCGTTGGGTCGTCCTCTTCACCAGACGATTATAATCGATAATACACCGGATTGTTTACGAGCGCACACCCGAAATGCATTGCTCGTCAGGGACTTCAGAGGCCCTTGTGGAGGAAGTTCAAGGTTTGACAACACTCTTTTTGTACTTGCAGACGTCATTGATGACGTTTTGAATGGTTCAGAAATTTCCATTGATGCTTTCCACGATCACCCGCAGCTTCAACTTCGTTCTGTTGAATGTGAAAGTGGCAGTACTATTGATGTACTTACGCTGAAGCAGGATAACTTCCTTGACCCTCCAAAAGGTAATAATGTGCTGCCCTATAATACGCAAAGGGCAAGTCGACGGCGTACAATGGTTGGAATGTAATTGCGTGTATGCCATAGGCGTTCGTTCTGCTGCTGCCAATACAAATAAATCACGCCAGCCTTGTATTTGTTTGTAGTTTTATTTGGATCCAGGCCTTACCCTTCCTCCCAAGGCCTCTAACATTTCCGGCCGAACACTCTCCTGCCGAACTTTTTCTTGGAAATGAGCGTGTTTACATTTATGTTTTTTGATTGATCCTGTTTCCGTGGGCGTTTCCTTTTTTTGCTTGCCTCTTTTTTTTTATTTTGTTTTTTTTTATTATCTTTTTTTTTGTTGTTGGTGTATACTACTTTTCGTTCTTTATTTTTGTTTGTTTGCTCTGTAGGCTCTGTGAAAATCTGAGGGGAGGGAAGTCTTGGCGGCGGGCACGGAGAATATCTTTTTTTTTTTGTGTGTTTGGTGTTTGTGTTTTTGTGTGTTTGATATACACCGTTTCCTGCGAGGGGTGATTTTCCTCTCGCCTCCTCTCTTTTTTTTTTTTTTTTTTTTTTTTTCATCTCGACTTCTCAATGTTTTTGTTGTTTTCGTTGTTGTTGGATGGCACGTATTATCCTTTCTGTAATTTATTTTCCCCCACCCCACAGGAGGCACATATATCTCTATATATCTCTATACATATACATATCCACATCTATATAAATATATATATATATATGTTTGGTCCTTTGAAACCTGTGGGGGGAAAAAGGCAAAATGAGTAAAAAAAATATATATATACATATATATATAAATATATAAACAAATATAAATATATATTTATTTATTTATAAGTATATATATTGATAGGAGTGTTGCAATTTTGAATGTGGGTGTAAAAAATAAAAATAGAAGGAATGAAGCGGGTACGCTGGATGATTTTTTTGGCATAACGCCCCACCTCCTTTTAATGCCGTGCTTTTTTTTTACTTTTTTTTTTTTTTTTATTATTTATTGCTTCTGTGGCCTCTCAATTTGTGGTGGGGCTTGAAGGCGGTCGTATGCATCATTTGTGTGACGTTGATGCTCTCTTTTTTGTAGATCCCTTTCATTATTATTATTATTTGTTCCTTTTCTTCCTTTTTATCTTTTTTTTTTTTTTTTTCTCTTCTTTCATTTTCTTTCATTTTCTTTCAACGACATCAGCGTGCATTGTTTTGGCATTCATGGGGGAGGTGGTTCCGACGGCCTCCAGGGACTGGTCACTGAACAAGGAGAAGGAATCGGGAAGATTGTTCTGGTGGAACTGCAAGTACAGCATTAGCATTTGGGACAGTAACCTCAATTTGGGCCAACCACGGCATGAGTTGACTGATCTCCTTGTGTGGCAGGCTTTTTTGCATTTTCAGATTGCCTCCGTGTACAAGTTGTGTTTTGTTTGTCACCAACCGGAGGGAAATGAGGATATGAAGGTTTGCTGTTTTTGTGGGTTAACGGTGCATTGCGATTGCTCCAGAGAGGCCACCGCTGAGCAGGTGGCATGGAAACCAGCCAACTTTGGCTTTGAGGCATACTTACGGGCCTGTTTTAACTGTGAGGACGTTCACGTTCCTGTCAAGATTCGAGCCAATAGGGAGGCAAGCAATGCACACCGTGTGGCTTCTCGAGCCTTGTCTATTAAAGAAGAATATCCCGAGCACATTCTCCGGGATATTTTGTGCCTCGCGGAGAAGGCAGAGCAGCCCCATTCCAGTAGCGAGGATGCGTCACTTGTGGCATCCCTGAGGCGGGTTCTCACTTCATTCTATCAGTCAGAGGAATCTTGTCTTTTTCTAAAGCGAGAGAAGCGCCCAGAGAAGGGAGGGGGCATTGGCGTTGTGGCCGCGAAGGATATTCCAGCTTTTACTGTTGTAGGTGTCTACCCTGGCTACCTTGATGTCTTGAGCGGAGAGCATTTAAAGCTTGGTCGACCTGTTACCAAGTATGCCCTGAAGGATCTTAACTGCGCAGATTATGACAACGTTGTTTTTGAGGAGTTTCAAGGAACATTCACGCCGTTTATCAACGAGCCATGTGAGTTTGAGGAGAGTAACTGCGGGTGGATACAGGAGGACAAGCATCGTGAGGGACGTCTTAGCATCATGACCGCGCGCAAAATTGAGGAGGGAGAGGAACTGCTCATTGGCTACGGACCGTCATATCCAAGATCATACCCCTACCGGTACGACGTATTGACATTTCATAAGACAGAGACCGAGTTTGACACACCCTGCTTTGCTCTCTGGCGCTGGACGTCGACTGACGAGAGTGACGCCAGTCTCGTTTCTTATGTGGGCTACGAAAAGAGCAAGGATTTTTACTTTTTTTGGGGAGAGCAAGAAGAATAATCATGAGAGAGACACATACTGTTGTCTGGGTTGGATGGACGCCGACCGTTTACGTACTCACGTACGGAAGAAGGGAGGGGAGGCGACAAAGGAAAATCCACAGGCAAAACAAGCAGAATGAAAATGAAAGGGATTACACATATATGCACATAAAGATTTGGTATATGAACCCACCGACTGCGTCTCGCTTAACGATAGATTACACGCGATGTTCGTTATCTTCTAAGAGGCCCTGAAAAGGTTTTTTATTTACTTTCTACCAATTCTATTCTTTTTTTTTTTCTTTTTGTGTGTGTGTTCTGTCTGAGTTGGGGTTGAAAGATTGAAAAGCGAATACGCATGCAGGATGTCTTTGAGTTGTTATCTTCGCTTGCCTATTGGACTGATCGTTGTGCTGTTTTTATGCACACAGACCTTTGGACCTCCTGTGGCGGAGCAGCAGATTTCGGAGTCCATACGTTCGATCACTGCCCAGTACAAAAAACTTGTGGAGAGGGCGATAAATGAAACAATGCGAAGTTTGATGGATCACGTGGATTCCAACCGCGACGGTCAGATCCAGCTGGAGGAGTTTCAAAGTCTTGCGGCCGCCGCGCTCCAGAGGGTCCGGAATGTGAGGCCAATAACACAGGAAATTGGTCTTGCTTTTTCCCATATTACATGGACAGAGCTGATGTGGCGGTATTTTCTACTGCAGTTGCTTTTTTTATTCTCCCTTTTTGTATTGGAAAACCTGCGGTGCCTCATATTTACTGCCCCGCGCAGGCTTCTTCTGGATGATTCATACTTGACAACGACCCCGCCCGAGGTCGGTCCCGAGATCGCATTGACATACGATACCCCTTGGACCACGTATGAGCGACTGAAGATGGCGTTCTTTGCCGCAACCGGTCTTTTGTTCTTGCGTATCTTTTTTTTACTTTTTTTTGCCGTACTCGCGACATTTTTTATGAGCCTCTGCGGCTGGCGAGGTCGAACGCGTCGTGGCAACCCGCTTTGGTTTGCGGTGTGGAGCAACGTAGCCACTGTACTTGCTCATATTGGCTCCGTCTTTGCTGGGGTATATCATATCAAGGTGTTTGGAAGATTTGCAGATGCATCTGAGTGTAAGGTAATGATCGGCAACCATTCATGTATCATGGAGGTCATTATTCTCTTTATAATGGGGAACTTTCCGTCGTTTGTGACACGGAAGGAGAACTGTGAGAAAGTTCCATTCTTTGCGGACGTTGCTGAATGCCTGAGTGCCATTATAGTGGACCGTAAAGACGTGAACTCTCGACAGCAGACTGCAGATGCTATTGGAGCACGTGCGAAGGACCGGAACCCCAAGTCCCCACAACTTCTTGTTTTTCCGGAGGGAACCACGTCCAATCAAAGGGCACTTTTTATGTTTAAAAAAGGCGCCATGGTGCCTGGGGAGCCGTTGCAGATGGTTTGCGTGAGCTTTCCCTACAAACACTTTAATCCATGCTGGACGGGACGTCCCTGCGGTGGAAACAGCTTTAGTGATCTCTTGATGCGCTTATGCTCACAGTTTGTGAACCACTTGGAGTTGCGGGCCCTGCCGGTATACACACCGACAGAGGAGGAAAGAAAAGACCCAGCTTTATACGCGAAACATTGCCAGCAGATGATGGCTACCGTTCTTCGCTGCAGTGTCAGTTCCTGTAAATACAGTGACTACGAATCAATTTCAACAGGGAAATCTCGCTCCTAGGACGTCTGCTTTGTAATTGCACAGCGTAAAAACAACAACAGCAGGAAGAAAACTGAATAAAATGTATGAAAGATACGTTAGCAGCAAGTACGGCATAATGCTATAATATCCTACGAAACGGAGGGCGGTGGGTGGGATGGGTGGCTCTCCTTTCTTTCTCCTATCTTTCTCTTTTTTTTTTCAATTAAAAGGGGAGGACCAACCCAAACAATGAAGAACATACAAACCGGAAAAAGCGTTGGGATCCACTGCACTTCGGCTTGAATTTCTTGCGAATTTTTTTTTATTTTTATTTTATTGTCTATGTGTCTTATTTAGCTGTGAGGTTTTGCGGGTGAGGAGGAGGAGGGAAAAAGGGGAGTCGAACGATGGACCTCTTGCTCGATGACCAGCGTGAGACACCGTCGTTTTCTATGGGTCTTTTTGCGGACCGTGTCAACAGCATCCTTGAGGCACCGCTACCAAAATGTCTTCTATTGAAGGGGGAGAAGGCGGGCGAGCGTTTCATCGGCAGCACTGTGGGACTGAGTCCGCGTGGAGTTGTGTCGCCGCGGCGCACCGCCATCAGTTCCTCCGCTGTTACTACAGCTGTGAGAGGGAATGGCTGTGTTTCCCAGCAGGGGAAACCGATTTACGAGGCATTGCTTGAAAGGGGGCGACTGATGTCAGAGAAGAAGGAGGCAATGCGACTACAGGCACTAGAGGAGGAGCTCAGTGAGCTGCGCCCGGCACCGAGTATCACTTACGCAGCGGCACGGAACACCCCGCGAAGACAGCAGCGGATAGAGGACCGCCTGCTGCAGCGGGCGAAGGAGGCAGAGATGCGCCGGGAGCTTCAGGCGAAGCAGCGTAAAGAAGAACTGTTGAAGGAGATGAGTGTCATTGCCCCGTTCCAGCCGAATATATCACGCAAGGGCCGAAAGGCAACCCCAAGGGCTCGCAATATGGCAGAAAAAACTCAGATGGACTGGAATCGTCAGCGCGAGCAGCGTAGAGAGGCGGCGCGCACTGCGAAGTTGATGCATGAGCTGAGCGAAGTTCGGGGTACGCCAGTTATCAACCCGCGCTCGGAGTGCCTTGCAGCTCGCCGTCGGAAGAAAGAGGGTCTTTTGGGCATGAGTGCGGTGGATGCGCTTATAGAGCGGGATCGCATTGCACAATTGAAGAGATGGGAACGGCACGAACTTGAAAAACGAGCTGAGCAAATCCCTCAAATTACATTATACGCCGCCACCCTTCAGAGAGATGGTGATGCGGCAGAGCGGTTATACGCGGAAAGTTACAAGAGGGAAGAACGCCGCTTGCGGCAAGAGGAACAGCTCATATCAAATGGTGCGGCACCTTTTACCCCAAGAATCAGTCCACACGCGGCCACGACACCGCGTTTCCGTAGTGTAGAGGATGAGCTTATGGAGAAACACATGCAAAGCATCGCATTGAAAGAGGAAGCCCAGCAACGGGAATGTGAGCAGGAGTCACGATGTCATCGGCCTATCATCAATCCTGTAAGTGAGGCGATTGCATCAAAGCTTCCTGAGAGTACATGCGAGCGTCTGTATCGTCAAACGCGGGGCACGCCCAAACACAGAGATCCTGCATCAAAGGACTTATCATTTTCAGAGAGTTTTATTAGTGGCGGCCGTGTGGCTTCTCTTCCCGAATCCATGGCAGAGTCATTGCAGTTCTACGAGGAGTCTCGGCAAGAGAGGCTGCGGAAACTTCGGGAGGAACAAGAGAGAATTCAACATAAGGAGTGTACATTTGCGCCTCTTACAAACAAACGAGATTCTAATTTTGGCGGCCCAGAAGATGTTGCTGCAAGAAACCAACAGTGGCTTGCACGCAAAGAACGGAAGCTGCGTGAGCTGCGTCGAATGAAGGAAGCCGAGAAGGTTAAGGATTGCACCTTCAAACTGGAGCGAGAAAGTCCAACAGTTAATTCCACACGCTGTGGGGAGAGTGTGTATGGCGGTGATGGGACGCCCTGGGGTGTGCAGGAGTACTTGGAGCGGCAGGAAGAGGCCCGCCGCATCAAGAGAGAGCGTGAGATGCGGCTGCAGCGACGCCCGTCATCTGCTCCGCGTCCGTCGACGACGACCCCGCAAGAGTTTCTTTTGGGTAGACGTGACGGCGTTTCTGTGCGCAGTCTGCGACGTCCTCCGCAGGTGTCTCTCATTTCACCTGAAAAAGAAGATGACCCACCTATACCACAAGAGCCACAACATAAAAATGAGAGTGGTTTGTCTGTGTACGAGCGCATTTACAATCGTATCTACGACACTGTTGCTAGTGGCGGCGGCCTTGGCAAACTTGGCGACAGTGATGGAGCAGAGACCTCACTTTGCATTGTTCCTTCCTTTTATCGTTGATAATAGCTCATTAGCAGTTCTTTTTTTTTTTTTTTTAAGCTTTATGCCAGGTATATATATATATATATGTATTAATTTGTGGTTTTGTTTTTAGAAGAATGGGAGAGCTGGTGTCTGATACCTCACGCACTGTGTACATTTTAAATGTTTTTTTTGTAACATTTCTTTCTCTTTCGCTGTCTGTGTGTGTGTGTGTGTGTCGTGTTTGCGCGGAATGGCAGGTAAAGAGGTCATTTGCCTGTGGAGTGTGGCACAAAGAGTGAGTGAATGAGAGGGAAAATATATGGTGATCTCCCGTTTTTTTTTTTTTTTCTTTATTTATTTGTGTATTTATTATTTTGGCGCGTGTGCGTATCATTTTTATTTACGAGCAGCATCTGCATGGCGAAGGAACTCACAACATTGCAGGTTGTTCTTTCTGCCTCCGTCTGCATTATGGTCGCATTGGTAGGCATTCTTTTGTGCTGCCGTGGAAGGCGGCAGGATCACCCGTCGACGACAATGAGTTGCTACAAACCTCTTCTTTTCTATCGGAGTTCATCACATGTGGCTAGAAAGTGTGGGGACCGGGGGCCGTCATTCATGCCTCTCTCACCATCGGATAAATGTCGAATTTCTGAATGGCTACTGGAGGTGCAGAGGGCCATTGACAATAGTGGCAATTCGCTTGCTGTGCCGGGATTGTCTGATCCACGGAACCCAACGGTAGTGGACTCTTTGGCGATGATGGCAACCGTGCAATTTTGCTCAGATACCTCTGAAAAGATAATTATGGAGAGCTCGGCGTCTGAGTACGCGACGTACAGTCCTCGTGTGTCTGCCGTGGAGGGATCGACAGAACCTCTTACGTTTCATTTGGACCCACTTATTCGCTAATGAAGGGCATCGTCTTTTTATTTGCTGTTTTAAATGCGTACTTTTGGAGCTGATTTATTATTTATTTTTTACTTATTTATTTATTTATTTATTTTATTTTTTTGGTGTAGTGGCGTAATTTGACAGCTCTATTCGTCTCCTAAGCGTGTGTGTGTGTGTGTATCTTTTATGGCTATGATACGTGTAGCGACTGCATCACGGAAGACCTCTGAGGGTGAATGCGTTCCTGTCATTCCGGCCGTGACTCCCTTCATGTCCCTTTCTAATGGACGTCGTTGCTCGCATCCACCAACGTTGCCTGCACGGTTACTGCTTTTGTGGCTGCGATTTCCGTCATAGACCATCGAGTATTGCTGGGCGAGAAGAAATGAATGGGGATGAAAGAGTGCAGGCCGTCATTCAGAGATGGAGACAGCGAGAAATATACCATGTGCGCATGCCAACTAAGACAAGTAGAGAAGAAACCTCTTCCTCTTTCAATTATTCATAATAAAAACAAAAAAAAGTAACAACATGAGAAAATTTCACTTTGTTTGCCTGCATATCTAAAAATAAATATTAATTTTTTTCTGCCGCTTCTTTTTTATTTATTTATTATTTTTATTTATTTACAAATTCAGGCTTTAAATGGGGGGACAGATCTGAAACGAGGAGGGAACAGGGCTATTTGTTAAATCAGAGCAACCATATAGTTACGTACATATATATTACACACTCAAACGGAGACTGAGAGACCTGTTTGAACACTGTCGCGGAGACGGAAAAGGGCACCAAATGGGTTGCGGTGCAACGAGGGATGTCAATCCGTTGCCACCGCCAGATGTGGATTTTCGCTCGGGAGGTCAGTTGTTAAAGTTGGGTGGTTCTTTGAAAGCGAGTGGAGGGAAGGAGCCCCTGATGCGAATGCCCGGAAAGGATAAATACATTAAAGAATCCGGGGCGGTTGTTATGGATGACCGTCAGAAGAGCGAAGGAGGGAGAGACAATCGGGCATCTGTTGGCATGTTGATTTTGTTTTGTGCAGCGGGGACAGACGAGCTTGTCATTTCATACCGTGAGAACTCATCCGGTGTGATTTATGCCAAGCGTATGACAGACAAAGAACTTCTGGCATCGAAAGATGCCGCTGGCATAAGAGTTTCGTGGGGCCTTTTTTTCAAGTCGCTTGCGTCCGATGTATTGAATAATAGGGCCGTTGTACGATATTCCACAAGTACTAGTAAATATGTTCACTTCAATATCCTCAGCAGAAAAGAGCGGGGTGTGAAGTACGACTATACATGTGAGCTTGTGATGGTCTCCGGTCTCGGGGCCTCGGCTGAGCAGAATGCGATTGTTGAATATTTTGTTGAACCCATGACACGCATGCTACAGGTCCGTCGTCGTGTTTCTGCGGGTTCTAACCGGGGCGACGCTTTGGAAAAATTAGAGTGTGACCATGTCGTGAAGATGGCGGCTTTGCGACGCTACAAGGCGAGATTAAAAGAACTTCTCAACACGGTGAAGCCACTGCGGGAGGAGGCTTCTATCATATCCGAGAAGACGATGAACTTGCTCCTTGAGGCAAAATCTCTTGAGAGCAAACTCCAGATGATGCGTGGCGGGATTGGTGATCAACAGCCCCTAGATATTCTTTATGAGAAGGGCGGGGCGCAGTATTTCCAGCACGTTCCACATGCGGAATTTTATTATCCAAAAGAGGAAAAGGTGGACCAAGGCATTTTGGCATGTATCCGGGCCGCATTCCCCCTTTTTCCTGGTGCCACTCTTGACGGTATCATGACTGTTTTAGATCGTCCTGAACTGCAGTCGCTTCTCAATGATTTCTCCCGTCCTTTGGTCAGGGATATGTTTGATGTCTTTTCTGGTCTGGATCGATGGGACTACAATGTCATCGAGCTGGAAATTATTACTAACGGCAATGCGCTTTTCTACACGACTTACGTGCTTCTTTACAAATTGGATCTTGTTGCCCAATTTCATCTTGATGACGCCGTACTGCAGCAGTTCCTGCTGGGCGTCCAGGCGGGTTACCATCCAAACCCGTACCACAATTCAATGCATGCTGCTGATGTGGCACATATCAATTATTACATCATGATGATTGCTGGTCTGAAGGAAAAGTGCCATTTAAGCAAGGAGAAGGTGCTGGCAGGTGTGCTTGCTGGCGCCATTCATGACTTTGATCATCCTGGCTTAAATAACAATTTTCATACCAAGACAAACGCTTACTTGAGCACACTCTACAATGATCGATCCATTCTTGAAAACCACCATATCGCTTGCATTTTTGAACTTATACTACATCCTGCTTACAATGTGTTCGCTCCCCTTAGCAATGAACAAATGTATGTGGTGCGTGAAACAATGATAGAGATGGTTTTGGCAACGGATATGGGGAATCATGGAAATTTGCTTAGGAAGTTTAAGCTACGCATGGCAGAGACCACCGACTGGCATACGGAAAAGGAAGATGTTCTTTTAGCTTTATCTATGAGCATAAAAATGGCTGACATCTCTAACTGTGCGAGGCCAAAATACATCTACGCTGAATGGGCGAGAAATATTTCACGAGAGTTTTACAATCAGGGGGATGCAGAGGCGGCGTGTGGACTCCCCATATCTCCATTTATGGACCGCAAGAGGAAAATGGCTGATTTTCCAAAGGGTCAAATCTCTTTTATGACGTACATTGTGGTGCCTATGGTGGAGGCGATTTCGGAGTTTCTTCCGTCACTTTGCTTTGCGCTGCAGCACTGCGACGAAAATAAAGACGCATGGCAGAGTTTTATTGAGGAACATACTTGAAGGCTGTAAAAGAGGCCGTGAGGTACAATCTCCACACTATCTTTTTTTTTTCAACCGTTTCGTGAAGTTTTGTGTTGCCTTTGCGAGGAAAGAAGTGCATGCAACAATAAATGGCAGTGTATGCAGGCGAAATGAATGTAAAAGGAACAAACGGTGTATACACTTCTGTGGATGTATATGGGGGCACTGTGTATTTTCTGGTATTTTATTTATTTATTTTTTAAATGTTTTTTTTTTTTTTTTTTGCTGCCAGGGCCAATAATATGAGTGGGAGGGCGAGATGACGCGTCTCTTTCTATTATTATTATTATTATTATTAGGTTCTTTTTTTTTCCTGACTTTTACATTTTTTGTTTACATGCGGACGGATGCAAACTTGTGAGTTAGAGCGCGGTTGTTTGTGGTGGGTGAATGCACTGCATCCGCCCCTACCAAACAACACAAACAACAAAAAAAATTATCTTTTCTTCTGTAATTTGCTGCTTCTGCCGTTTTTTTTTTTTTTTTTTTTTTGCCATGACGCATTTGTTTTTGGGCACACACACACACACACACTTAAATAACAGGCAATTTTTTCGTGAGAAAAAGAGGAAATACGGCCGATAAAAATCCGTCAAACATGTGGGATCCGTTTCGCGATGTGGAGCGCCTTCTCAATCGCATGCAGTCCGTCACCGGCACGAGTTTTCTCTCCACATCCGCTCGTGGATCATGGGTGCCGGCGATGGACATTGTCGAGAGGGAGGACAGCTACAAGATTCTTGCTGACTTGCCCGGCATGAACCGCAACGACGTCTCTGTGGAGATTGAGGGCAGCCAACTGTGCATTGGAGGCAACCGCAAGTCCATGCTGAGTGAAGAGGAACACAAAAACGTTGTGATGGCAGAGCGCGGTTCCGGGAGATTTGAGCGCTGCGTGCGACTTCCCTCACCCCTTGAAGAGGGAAGCGTGAAGGCCAGCCTGCGTGATTCGGTGCTGCTCGTGGAGGTGAAGAAAGTGACGGACGCCGTGCGGAAGCGCTCGGGGATCTCCGTGAAGATCAATTAGCGTCCCATCGCCGCTGCATCCAAACCGCATTGATCTCGACAGCACTCACGGACCCAATGGAGAAAAAAAAAAAAAGAAAAAAAAACGAGGAAAAAAAAAGCAACAACAAATAAAATAAAATAAAAGAAGCGAATCATTTTATTTATTTATTTATTTATTTATTTATTTATTATTATTATTATTATTATTATTATTATTATTATTATTATTATTATTATTATTATTATTATTATTATTGGTAGAAGTATTAGTATGGATGATGTTGATGGCGTTGGTGCAAAACGCAAGTTTTTGTTTGTGTTTTGTTTCACTTCTGCGTATGTGGGGCCTTTGTTACGGGCCTTTTTTTTTTTTTCTTTGTGGCTAACTCACCCCTGTTTTTAATCTGCGGGCGGTATCATGTTGTTGTTTTTTTTCTTTCCTTCCGTCTTGGCTGAATCTTCTTCATCGTGTTTCCACCATGAGATTGTGAGCCCCCCTTCTCTTTTTTTTTTTTTTTTGGACACCAGGAACTTTTTTTTTTCTTTTCACTCTTTTTCATTTTCTTTTTTTTTCTTTTTTTATTTTTATTTTTGCGTGTTTACAAACAAAAACTGCTCTTTTTGCTGCTGCTGCTGCTGCGGCACACACACACAAAAAAAAAAAAAAAAAAAAAAAAATTGCCGCAACCAAACATAAAGGAGTAGGTCGAGATAATGCCGAAGGGAAAAAACGCGATCCCCCACGTGCACCAGAGGAAGCACTGGAACCCGTGCTCTTCCCAGAAGGGTAATGTGAAGGTTTTCCTCAACCAGCCCGCACAGAAGCTGCGCCGTCGCCGCCTACGTCTTTTGAAGGCGAAGAAGACGTTCCCACGCCCACTCAAGGCGCTGCGCCCGCAGGTGAATTGCCCCACGGTGCGTCACAACATGAAGAAGCGCCTGGGCCGTGGCTTTACCGTTGAGGAGCTGAAGGCTGCCGGCATCAACCCTCGTTTTGCCCCGACGATTGGCATCCGTGTGGATCGTCGCCGCAAGAACAAGAGCGAGGAGGGCATGAGCATCAACATCCAGCGCCTGAAGACGTACATGAGCAAGCTGGTGCTCTTCCCCATGAGCTACAAGAACGTGCAGAAGGGCGAGGCCACTGAGGAGGAGGTGAAGTCTGCCACTCAGGACCGCACACGCTTTGGCACTGCGGCTGTTGGTGGTTTTGTGACGCCTGCCCCCGAGGCACCACGCAAGGTGACAGAGGAGGAGCGCACAAAGAACGTGTACAAGTTCCTCAAGAAGAACCACAGCGCTGTTCGCTTCTTTGGCATTCGCAGGGCGCGTCAGGAACGCAGGGAGGCCAAAGAGAACGAGAAGAAGTAAGGCGTGCAAGCTCACTTTTTTCATTTGTTATTATTGTCTTTTGACTATTTCACTGGTGCGCTGTGGCGGTAGGGTCACGCCCCAGGGCCGGGGTTTTTTTTTTTTTGAGCCTACCAAAGGGGTTGTTGGTTTTATTGTTGTCGCGCGTTTTGCTGACAGCGTCTTGACGAATTCTTCTTTTGTTCTTTTTTTTTTTTTTTTTGTGGTTGCTTTCTTCTTTTTTTTCTTTTTAGTGTTTTAACACAGCAATAAGAAGGAACAACACGCATACATATAAACACAAATAGACGTGTGGATTAAAAAAAAAAAAAAACACATTGGAAGTATTTGCACGCGAAAAATTGTGTTGGGTGTGCGTTAGAGGATTATTTTACTCGCTATTGAAATTTAGCGATCGATGTTGAAAGACCGTTTTGCTCACTTGCGGATTGTCGATAGCGACTCTGATTCCGATGATGCGCAAGCCGTGAGACAACACAACTTGGCTTCTTTGAATAAACCCACATATAAGAGTTCTATGGAAACCACTGAGGCATTTCCTACGGCTGCTGCCGCTGCTCCTACCTCTCCTTTTTCATTTCCTATAGCTGCCAACGTGAAAAAAGACATTGCAAGTTTGGCGGCGCCAGCGGGGGAGCCAGGAGGTTCTTCGTCTCATACCCCGAAGGCGGCTTTTTTAAATGAACCTCCTTCAATGATGAGAGGTTCCTCGTGGAAGCGATCTTCTGATAAAGAAATTCAATCAGTGAGACTCGGCGGCGGCTCCGTAAATTCCTTCGCGGCAGCCTCTACCTCCGGATCGGAGCGAAGAAAAGTCCAGCAGTGTGAGCGGAGCGAATTGCCAGACGCCTCTTCCGCTGTTCCTTCTGGTCTTCGACCCTTGTCAGTTTCTGAGGGATGTGAGGAAGGGACGCGTGTGGAGGAAAAGCAGGTGACACCGCAAGGTGACGCGGAAATGGCAGCGGCGACGAGCGAAAAGGCCGAAGAGTGGGAGGAGGGTTTGGAAGAGACCCACCAGATGGAAACGGTGGAGGAACCACCTACCCAAATGACGGAGCCAATGGCTGTAGTTGGCAGTAAAGAAACAGAGGAACTCAGAATTGTGGCCACTGACCTGTCAGAGCCATTACCCGCTCCAGCCGACGACGCTGGGCGCGCGGCGGTGAAACGCTTTTTGGAAGAAAGGTATTGGGAAAAAACGCACGGGTATGATCCATTTAAGCGAAGGATGCCACTTTTTGTGGCCATAGAGCATTGCTCTCCAAAGAATGTACCGGTGCGTTCCAACCTGCCAGAGCGCAACGCGTTGGAAGCCAATCCCGAGGTGGTGCGCGCTGAGGAACCATGTCAACACGAGATCGAGCAGAATTATCCGGATTCCGAAGGAGTGGGAAAGTTTCTTGATGAGGAATTGGCTGTTGCTTCCCGTGACGATCGCCTTTTAAAAGAAGGGAGCGAGGGGATGGCTGGACCCGCGCCAAATATGGCTAGCGTGGTTTCTGTGGATGATAACCACGCCGGGGACCTGCTGAGCAGTACGCAGCCGGCAGAAAGTGGGGAAATTCGGGGAGCGTTCAGAAAAGTTCAGGGAGAGGCTTATGAAGAAGGAAGCCAAATGGGCGATCCCATCATTACTGACGAAAACGTTCTGCAGGAAGAAGCTGCGAGTGATATGCGAACATCAGCAACGAACGTCAAAAAAGAGATGGAGGGTGGCGAGAAGGAAGAAAGTGCCTCTTTTATGGAAGGAAGTCAGCCTCATTTGCCAGGACAGGTCGATGATGCTTCTAAAGTTCTCTTGAGCAGTAAAGCTGCTCTCAGCTCGCCCGGGAAGATACAAGAAAATGAGTATGCCGAGAGTTTGAAGTTGGATGAAAACAATCAGAGGAGTATCAGGAGCAATGTGAGCAATTTTATCGTGGAAAGTGATCAAAAGGGACAGTCGGAACGAGGCCCTAACGAGGAAATATTCTTAGCCAAGGAAGAACTGCTCATGAACGATGGGATCAATGTGGACTCTCTGAGAGAGAAGCGTGAGGTTCAGTCAGCGAATGAGAGTGCTGTGCAGCAAAACAGTAAGGCTTCTAATAAGAGCGAGGAGCCATTGCAAACCTCGGAACTAACCGTTGAGAGCCTACGAAAGTTCAATGCAAGGGGTTTTGAAGGGACTCATTGGGAACGCTACAACGAAGGTGAGGAATACACAGACTCTTCTCGGTACAAAACATGTTTTTCCCCGGGCACCACTGACGCCGGAAGCTTTCGGATGGGAAAAGGTTTGCCTCGGCGTTTTGCCGGATACAACGACTGCGGAGGGGCGTCTTCGAGAAGGCAGGAATTGGCAATACCACCTTTTCACAGACGCCTTATTTTGGACATGGAGGAGAAATTTCGGCGAGAGAAGAGGAGTATGGAGCATTCACTAAATGAATACACTTTTCACCCACGCACGACTTGCACGCCACGTGGACATTTGCCCCAGCGGCGACGTAATCCAACGAATGGCGGTTCAACAGAATCACCTTGTCAGAGTTTGGCGATGACACCAGCTCGATCCTCAGCGCGACACAAGGTTCTGGAGGAGCCACTGCCTACATTTAAGCCAGAGATCTCCAAATTTGCACGGGAGACACAGCGGCCCAAAATACCTTACCATGAACGTCTATACTCTCCAAGGCCTTCCCCTGCACAAGCAGGACCGGGCGGTGCTTTAAACGGCACATCTCCCCATCTCTCGCCCCGCATGATGGAGTTGCTTGATGGGGCAACACCTCCACTGTTTCGTCCGGAAATTTCTTCAATGGCCAAGGCCATTGAGAACGGTGCTCCATTTTATGAGCGTCTTTATCAAGTAAAGGCCGATGTGGAGCCAAGCCGCGAAGGAAAATCCCTTCTGCAATCGCCGCCTATATCACCCCGTCGACCAACACGACCTATTCAATTGTCTCCTCGGCTTCTGGAGCGTCCTGCACCACCGGCAGAAACGCTTCCGTACTCGTTCCATCCGGAAATTTCTCCAAGGGCCAAGGCCATGGAGAACGGTGCTCCATTTTATGAGCGTCTTTATCAAGTAAAGGCCGATGTGGAGCCAAGCCGCGAAGGAAAATCCCTTCTGCAATCGCCGCCTATATCGCCCCGTCGACCAACACGACCCATTCAATTGTCTCCTCGGCTTCTGGAGCGTCCTGCACCACCGGCAGAAACGATTCCGTACTCGTTCCATCCACAAATCTCTCCACGAGCGATGTCTATGGAGTCCCATGGCCCTGTTTATGAGCGGCTATATCCTATAAAAGACGAGAGATCGGCGATATTGCAAAGGCAAGAGAAGAAGTTTGAGGATTTTTTGGCCTCGTTTCAGCCTTCTATCGCGGAACGGAGCAACGGTACAAATGTGGATTCTCGTGTGATGGGACGAGATGTGGTTAGACGACTGACGGAGCATAGAGAGCGATCCCAGCGTTATGTTGACCCATCACTCACTTTTCATCCCTTTATCACGCAGAAAGCCAGAGATTTGAAAAATGAGAATTCGGCAGCATTACCGTAGCGAGTTGGCTGTTTCATTGAATGAGATGTTTCTTATGTTTATTTGTATCACTGTGGGAATATTTCTTTTTTGTTTGATGTTAATTTGTTAGTTCTTAGTCTTTATCTTTTTAATTATCCAAGCAGATTAAAAAAAGGAAAAGGAACATGTATGATAATAAAGGAACTCAAATGCGTTTTTTTTTTTAATTTTATTCGGTGATGTGGGCTCCTGTTTCCCATACGTGCGCTGCATTTTGGGGCTTGTTTTTGTTGTTTTTGTGTTCCTTTTATTGTATATATATATGTACATGTTTTTTTACATTCTGAATATAAAAGGGTGAAAAAACTGCCTGTTGGCACCAATAAAGCCTTGTAACCACATGCATGGGACGCCCAGGAGCCTATGGTTCAATCACAAAGATGTGAACGTTGCGGCGAGGGCGATGCCACGTTAGCCAATTGTGTAGATTGTGGCCGCTATTTGTGCCGTCGGTGCGTGAGCTGCGCTGGACAATGTGCCGATTGCACAGCAAAAGTTGAACAGTCTGCCCTGGGTTGTGCCATCTGTAGGAATATGGAAAACGCTTATTACTGGTGCGCCGCATGTCACTCCATTGTCTGTAGAAGATGTGTGCTTCAGTCATATAAGGGTCGGCCCACCACCGTTCTCTGCAAGTCTTGTCAGATGTCATCCCCACTGGCGGCGCCGGTGACGCTGTGCGGCAGGTGTAAAGGGGTTTTGCGAGACGAAAGCACATGGTACTACTGCGAGGTGTGTGCAGAACCACTGTGCAGAAATTGTCTTTCTTCTTCTTTTGAGTGCGGTGTGTTGAAGTGTCTGACGTGTTGTCCAGCCCCTGTCCGATTATTGGGTGGCAACAGGCAGATTCGAATGTTTTTAGACGACGAGCTGAAAGCCCTGGTAGCTTCCATTTCACGAACAAAATCACAAACGGCGGCAACAAGTGCAACGACGGGGATGTCTTTTTCAAAGTATAGGCATTTGCGGAATTGCGAGAAGCTGGGTGAAGGGGGCCAGGGTGCTGTGTTTAAGTGCACGACGCTGGACAATGAGGTGGTGGTTTCAAAGGAGATGACGTTTGATGACGGGGATCGAGCGGCTTTTGAGGCACGTCTTATTCAGGCCGAAAAGATGCGGATGCTTTCCCATAAGCATTTAATACGTTATTTGGATGTGATTGGTTTGGAGAACCCGTTGAAGATTTGTGTCATCATGCCGTACTACGCCGAGGGAGATCTCTTTAACTATATCAAGCGGCAGCGTGGACCCATCGAAGAGCATAAACTCTGCTCTATTATCCTCCAAATAGCATCTGCTTTACACTATCTTCATTCCCAGAGGCCGCCCCTGGCACATTGTGACATTAAACCCGATAATATACTTCTTCTTAACCGTGAGGAACAAGTTCTTCTTATGGATCTGGATCTGTGCCGTTCCTGCGATGTTCAATCGAGTGCAACGTCAAGAGTTCTTTACGAATGCCATGGGAACTCACCGACATTTGAATATCGTGCACCAGAGATGGTGAAGTCGGCGGGATCGACGGAGTCTGATATATTTAGTTTGGGTGTTGTGTCATTTGTTTTGGCGACGCTGCCGGAGTTCGCAATGCTTCGCAACGGCAAGGGCGTTATGACGGTTCTGAATGACTCTGACTGGACGCCGGACTCCTTGGCACGTGCAGTTCGTGCCGCAATTGAAGCGCACACACGCGTTTACTCGGAGGAGCTGATAGATCTTATTATTGGGATGTTGCGGCACCGACCAGCGTCACGCCCCCAGGCGATTGAAGTAATGATGAGGCTTACGGAAGCAATGGAGAATCGTCTTTTGAGGTGCGGCATTTGAGAAGCCGGCTGTGTTTTTCTCTTTCCTTGTGTATACCAGTTATATGCCCACTCATTATATATATATATATATATATATATATCTTGCTGATTACCCTTTTTTTTCTTTATGGTCTCGTTTTTGTGGTTGTTGCAGCAGTTCTTTATCTTTTATTTGCTTTTCTTTGTATCCAAAAATACATGGCGAAAAATATTTTATTGCACTATTTGATTTTTCTTTTGCGAGTTGTTGTGTGACGTATTTGTGGAATGCAAACATCGAAGCGAAGAGAAGGCACCTCAGGGAACAAGAGGAAACGAGGAGCTTATTGTGGACGACGTACCGAGTTTTGCCGTTTAATGCCGTTGGAGGGGAAGACGCACCGATGAGCTGCGGAACCAAAACGGATTCCTTTTGTGGTGTTTCTCCATTGTCTGCTGCTTATGACTTTTTTCTGTGTTCTGTCTTTTTTTTTTTTTTCTTCTTCTTTTTCTAATAGTTTTCTTTTACTCTGTGCGCGCAGAGGCGTGTGGACCAAAAGGGAAAGGGGGAATAGGCCAGAAGAAAAAAAAAAAAAAGGAACAGCACGCATCAAAGGAAAGTTTACCAACCGCAAGTATTCCCTCTGCTGGAGCGACACCCGCGGCAGAGGACGACAAGAGAACGAAGGAAAGAGGGCGTAAGTTGCGTGCACCATTTATTTCTGACTTTTGATACGGATTTGATTGTGCGTGTGTGTGAAGGGAGTGAGTATATATATATATATATATATATATATATATATATATATATATATATATATATATATATATATATACATTGAGAGTAAGTGAACAGAGGGAACCGACTGGTAAATTGCATCCACACAAAGCCCCATACAGAGAGAACACGAGAGCTGCGTCCGAAGATACGTGTTTATCTATTTGTTGAAATTACTTACCATGTCTGTGGACTTTACGTCAAAGGCGGTGGATCTATTGAAGCGTGCGACTACGCTTGACGAGGCGAAGGAATATGAGGAGGCCTACCGCTGGTACATGGATTCCATTGAAGTTTTTATGACGGCCATAAAGTACGAGAATAAGAATCCGACCAAGAAGGAAATGCTAAAGAATAAGGTGCGTCAAGTTATGGAGCGGGCGAAGATGATCAAGGAGTATTTGGATGGGTCAAAGGAAGGCGACAGCAATGTTGGAAATGCAGGCAGCACAGCGCAGAAGACCGCCTCCGCGAGTAAGAAGGCCAAGGAAGAAGAAGAGGACAAGCAACGCATGAGGAATGCACTGGGGGGCGCCATCGTGCGTGTGAAACCCAACGTGAATTGGTCACAAATTGCCGGTCTTGAGGGGGCAAAGGAGGCACTGAAGGAGGCAGTGATTCTACCGGTCCGCTTTCCTCAGCTGTTTACTGGCAATCGCAAGCCATGGAAGGGTATTCTCATGTACGGTCCACCTGGTACCGGCAAGTCGTTTCTTGCAAAGGCCGTGGCAACCGAGGCGGACGGCACATTCCTGAGTGTCAGCAGTGCGGATCTGATGTCTCGATGGTTGGGGGATTCGGAAAAGTTGGTAAGAAA